CGAAGGCAGACGCTGAACCGACTGAGCCACCTAGGCGCCCACAAAGTAGTAATTTTTAATTTGATGATGGAATTGTGAATTTGTGTTGCTAAGTGTTGAAACTTGGTATATTTCCTTAAAAAGCATTGAACTTTGTTCTAGAGGCACTTAAGTTGCTAACAGTTCCGTTTGGTCCTTTGAGGTTTAAGTTTTTTTAAAGACAGAAGTCAGCAATTTCTTTGATATTAATATTTTTGAAGTATAGTTAAACATACAATACTATATTATTTTCAGGTGACAACAGTGATTTAACAATTAGACACATTACAAAATGCTCATCACAATAACTATAGTTACCATCTGTCATCATATAAAGTTATTACCCTATTACTGATTATATTCCCTATGCTGTACTTTTTATCCCTGTGACTTATTTATTTTATAGCTGGAAGTTTGTATTTCTTTATCACTTTCCTCTTTGCAAATTTCCTCTGTATTTTTTTTTTTAACTCAGGAAACTAGTTTTTAAAGTAATCTAGTGTAAAAACAAGTTGAGGTTAAAAGAATATGTTCAGAGAGTGACTATGTTCAGCTTTGCAGGCCATATGGTCTTGATTGCAACTACTTAACTGCCATTTTAGTGTGAAAGTAACCATAGATAATGTGTAAACAAGTGGGCATGGCTAAGTCCCAATAGAACATTATTTACTTAAACAGATGGTAGGCCAGATATGGTCTTAAGATTATAGGTTGCCAATCCAATCCATGGTCTAGAGTCTACTTCCTTCTAGAGTTACTTTCCCCCATACTAAAGTGTACCCTTCTGGAATTCCTACTGAATGCCTTACGTATTCACCAAGGACTCTACATTCTGGCTGATAGAAACTCAAAGATATGTGGCCCTGTGTGACCTCTGGTAATTTTTCAGCATATAGCTCCTAGTTATTCTCTTAGAAATTGTTCTCAGTTTCTCTTTCTGGATTTTATCCTACAAATATAAAAACTAGAATTCAGACAAAGACTTAAGCATATCTCTGGATCTCCTTCTCTGTATAGCACCCTTTCCTCCACCACCCAGCATTGAAAATTCTAGCTGTCCCAGAGTGTTTCCTCAACTATGTGTAACCCCATTTTTTGCTGGGCTGACCCTATTGGAGTTATAGTCCAGAAGTGCCTCCATGCAGAAATCTAGGGGTGATCATAGGGTGTGCCTTTTTTCATTTCTTTAAGGGATCCCAAGCTTATATTTCCTGATGTTCAGTGTTTAAAACACTTGTTATATATACTTTGCCCAAGTTTCTAGTTGTTTATTGCTGACGGATGATTCCATACTTTATTACTCTTTCTTACCGTGTATATGCTGAGAGCAAACGTCTTCTTATTACTTACCTTGATATTCAAATTGTCTCTGATTTGGCCAGTAAGTTTCTCTAATAACTGCCTCCTTGAGCCTTTCATCATAATGCAATAAATTTTTGAGTACTTTATTATTTTCTGGTACAAAAAAAAATCTAGGTTCATCTTGAATTTTTTTTGTTCTTAGCTCCAGACTATTTTCTCAAGGGGTCCTGGCTCCTTTTAATGGGGAATAGTATTTAAATAGAGTTTGGGATAGAGGAGTGACATTCAATTATGTTAAAATGTCACATGGTTCTATTTTGTTTAATGGACCATAAGGGTCAAGGGTAAGGCACAGAGATCAGAAAGGAAAGTATTGTAATAAAATCACACAAAATGGTAGTCACTTAGGCCAAAATAGTAACAGTGAAAAACTGTATATGTTATGGAATAAAAAGTTTTATACACACACACACGAACACAGACACATATATGTGTTTTTATATATAACATCCAAACCAAATTTTGAATGGAGGCCCACCTTGTAACTGAGGATTGGCCCACCTTGGGCCAAAATTTGGTTTGGATGTTAAGACTGACAGTACTGATTGTACACTAAAAGGGTTGAAAATATCTATTACTCACATAATGAGGCCTTCTCGGACATCAGGGTAGCTCCAAGGCATGTCCAAAAGTAGTTTTAGAGAGCAAGGAAAGGAAACTGATTTAGAGTTTTCTGGTGGTTGGAGGGTGGGACTGGGGTGAGAATTTCTGTGCACAGATAAGGGCATGCTTGGTTCGAAACTCCTGCCACTAACGGGAGCACCTGGGCTAGCTTACTAGGTTTCCAGATGTTGGACACAAAGGAAGCACTGTCAGCAATCAGCTCAAACACCAAAAAGTGGAGTCAGACCCTACTACATAGACAAGATTTGTTTTTCCTCCAAGTAACTGGAGTTATAGAGTTGCCATAAACACAGTTGAGGAAGACTGTTCACTAGAAAAGTTTGGAGGCAAAGAATCAGAGTTTGCATTTCAGCAAGTTAAGCTTCAGATGTCTCTAAGACTTATTTACATTGGAGTTTTTTTACTTTCATAATTTGTTCTTTTTTGTAAAAATAAACTGCCCACTAAGAAGGTCTCTGCCTAATTTGAATAATATATTTTTATTAAAAATCAAAGTTACATAATTCCATAAAAGCTTTAATATCTGAATCGCTTAAAGATATATACCCTCCCTCTTAGTAGCTGATTTCTTTGGACAAAACAACAGACATGGAAAATAATTTGGAAATAGGTAAATAACATTAGTTGATGATTTTCCTTGATATTTACCAAAAAAGTGTTTTATGGGTAGGACACATGATAGCAGTGAAATTGTCTTTATTAGTGTGAAGGGCTTTCTGTTCAAAATAATCTTATGTACTATTTAAATTATTGTGTTTTTAAAATTGTGTAGCTATTTATGTTTTAGAAATTTAAAAATTATTATTCTAAAATATTTGCAATGTCAGTTGTGTAATATCTGCCAATATATTATCTGTGATGTGTTTCCATTTAGAAACATGTTCAAACTACTTTCTTGTTTGTTTTAGAAGAATTAAATTTTAGCTTGATTCAGTCTCTGGAGAAAAGCATCTTAAGAACCAGTTTTGTTTTTACTCCCCAAACAAATTGGAATTGACAGAATCAATACAAATGCCAACTTGTGTAAAATTAAATGGGATCTAGTAATTTCGCAGGTTCTCAACAGCCCCCTGAGAAATAATGCATCTGGTAGTCAACACTACCATTTTAGTTCATTGGTGGTCTGGTCTTGTGGTAGTTGACCTGGATCATTGCTCTTCTTTTCAAGTCAATAGATTTAAAAAATAGTTCAGAAGACAATAGACCTAGGTCCAAATTATATCTCTGCTCTTGAAAAATCACCAAGTCATTTAACATCTATAATCCTCGTTTATTTTTCATCTATAAATGAAGGTTAATGTATGTGCTCCCCATTTCTATGTAGCTCAGAAATGCTTTAATGTTATGATTCTGAGTCAAGCTCTGTGATTGAAACATTAAAGGCCTTTTGTGTTACCCCGAATCTGCTAAAACTGAACTGGACAGCTAAATAAAAATAGTTTAATCCCACGCTGCAAGAAAGGAAAATGTTAGCAATTAACCCAGACAAGAAAGTTTTGTTAGAGGCAGAATGCATGGTTGAAACTTATTTTCAAAGGCTTTGCAAGTGTAAAGGGCATTTAATTAGGCAATTTTGAACAAACAGTCCAGAAACAGCTTAGCACGCAAAATGGCTAGAAGCCTTCAGAACACTACTCTTCTCCCCAGTGGTTTCTACATGGCATCCCATCCATTTCCTCCCACTTCCTCCCTCTTAGCCATCTATTTTCTAAAATGTAGGACTGATCCAGGACATGAAAGCTTCTTTATGAGATTTTATCAGCAGTTTTCAGCTCCCAGAACACCTTCTAGTGAATCCCTGAATCACCCCCAGCTCTAATCCACACTAGTCCTCAGCTACCAGACAACCCCAGGCCTTGGAAGCTACCACGTAGAAATAAAATAGGGAGGCATCATCAGTTTCCGTATGTACCAGATGGGGAAGACAGGAAGGAAGAGAATTTCTGGTACTGTCGTGTCACAGAGCAACTGGGGAGTGGATATCCTAAGGTGGATCTTTGAATGAATTTTTCTACTAAAATATTATTACCCTGGTGTTACACCCTATTGTAATATTGGAGCAGGATAATAATAATACCTTAAATGTGCATATTGAACTGCTTTGTCATTTCCAGAGCACTGTATTTCACTCATTCATGTATTTGACTAATATTTCCTGATCATTTACTAATGGCCAGGCTCGGCTCTAGGCACTGGGGATATCAACAATAGTCTCTTTAATTAGCTTAACTTCTGTAGGTTGTACTATTTTTTTTTTCTCTTTTTAGATAAACTAAACTCGTCAAGGGTAGGATGATCTAAGTCTCATAGCTGAGAAGGATCAATACCAGCATTCAAACTCAGGTCTTCAAAAACACTGCTCTTATTTTAAGCTTTCTGGGGGGGGTGGGGGTCAGCGAAAAATAAAACTTTATTGTTGACATTTCTTTGTAGGGAAATTGTTTCTAAAATTCTAAACAATTGACAGATATAAATGCATTTTGGAGAAAAATCTGTTAGAAAGTTGAATATTACTTATATGTTCATACCCCTACTTCTGTGGAAATACTATATATATATATTTGGTTTCTGATAAATATTAAAATGCATGGGTGGTAATGGAATGTACTTCCAAATACACCATAGTACATAAGCTCTTAGTACCCTAAAGATTTTGTTTCAGTATAAAAAATGGAAAGCCTCACTGGCTTTCAGATCTAATTTATATTCTTGAACTTAGCTTACAGGAAATGCTGTATTTGAAGAGTCTTGGGGTACTTTCCTAGATCAATAAAATGATACTTGATTTTTTTTTTTCATTTTGAATAATCCTTGTGAGTGATCTGTTGGCCAGAACCCTGGAGGGGATCAGGAGAGAAAGATGGGGATCAGATAACTCATACTCCTAAGAACACCGTGTTTCTTAATATGTTAAAGTGAATCTACTCTTACTAGCTTTTAAGCTTAGTGATGTGTTAGTAGTGTTTCCTCATCTTCATTTATTTTCTGTTTTCTAGGTTCCTGCCCTCCTGGCTATTGGGAATGTCAGAATGGCAAATGTTATAAACCAGAGCAAAGCTGTAATTTTGTAGATGACTGTGGAGATGATACGGATGAAAATGAATGTGGTACCTCCTGTACTTTTGAGAAAGGCTGGTGTGGCTGGCAAAACTCCCTGGCTGATAACTTCGATTGGGCTTTGGGAGTTGGCTCTCATCAGAGCCTAAGACCTCCCGAAGACCACACACTTGGAAACAAAAATGGTAGGTTATGAGGCTTTCCTCCTATTTACAGTGAGCATCTCATTGTCTTCCCTGACAGCAACTGGAGAGCTCTGGTGAGACTACCGTGGGGCCATGGCAAGCGAGTCAAATATCTGATGATTATATTTGTCTCCTGGGGCTGCCATCACAAAGTACTGGAAATGTCAACTATAGACATCATCTCACAGTTCTAGAAGCTAGATGGGAGAAATCAAGGTGTCAGCGGAACTGGTTCCTTTTCAGGGCTGTGAGGGAGAATCACCTATTCTGTGCCTCTCTCCGAGCTTCTGGTAGTCTCCCACATTACTTGGCTTATAGATGGTGTTCTCCTTTGTCTTTACATTGTCTTCCCTCTATGCACGTTTGTCTCTGTGTCCAAATTTACCCTTTTCATTACCACACAGTCTTCATGTGATGAGGGCCCACTCTGATGATTTCATTTTAATTTGGTCATCCACAAAGGCCCTATTTCCAAATAAAGTCACTTACACAGGGACTGGAAATAGGACTTCACCATCTTTGGGGAGGGGCATAATTCAACACATAACAGGGAGTAACCAAATTTTAATATTGTTCTGGTAATTGTAGATGGATGATAATGTATGCTGCCTTCGGGCACCTTTCCTAAATGACCCGTGTTTATAATTAATAACCCTGAATCCTGCCACTCATTGGATCGTTAACATGTCATATAGCTTTTCAGATTCTCAAATTTCTCATCTGCAGGTGGAGAGAGCCCAGTTTTCCCTGTGTACCAAGCAGGGATTAGAGAAATGAGATGATACGTATGAAGGGAAAGCAGGTTTGGAAGCTGTAGAGGGTAACATGCAGATAACTGTAAAGTCACATGTGTCAGACGTGTTGGCAATGCCTCGTTTTTGCAGTGAGTAGATGGTCAAAGGACAAAGGATGTTAACAGAATAAAGGACCCTGAATTCCTGGAAGCTACAGAATAGGAAAGAAGGTGTCTAAGTGTAGCAACTCCTCAGGCCTCTGATACAACAAAACCCTCCAAGCCAAACTGACCACACCAGAGAAATGAAGGTCTGAGCTCCATGCAGACACTGGGCTGTACATTGATAAAATGTTTTGAGTATTTGGATACATAAATATAAAACTCATTATCTTCCATGTTACATATTAAGATTCTCAGCATTTTATTTGTGCACTCAGTAGATGACTGAATTTTTGGAAGTACGTTGTAATGCCTTTATTTATTTTTCATAGGTAATATCTTTGCATTGTTTTACAAGAACTGGAAAGTGTAGGGAGTCCATTAAATGATTTCTATAACTATCTTGTTGATTCGGTGCCGTAAATATCCTGTCACATCAGTTGATCTGCATACTGTGAAGTACTCTGCTCAAAGCACAGACAGTTGGAAATTGTTCTGTCAGTGAGCTAGAAGCAAGGCTATTTGATTTTCTTTCTGTTTCAAATGGAAATGCCTTTGACAGCTCATATCCTATGAAATATAATTAAAAACCCTAACTAAGATGGAAAAGCTAAAAGGATCCCCTCATTGTTGTTTCTGTCCTATCTGAACGCTGTCCTTCTTCCTAGGGCACTTCTTGTATCTGGAGGCTACTCCGGTGGGCCTTCAGGGTGAAGAAGCACACCTCAAGAGTGCCGTGTGGCAAGAATCCAGCGCTGCCTGCACCCTAAGCTTCTGGTATTTCATATCTGCAAAAGCCACGGGGTCCATTCAGATCCTCATTAAGGTAGGATCTTCGTCTGTGATCCCTCTGAGCTTAGTGAAGACTCCTACAGGCAGCCCACGGCCAAAGAGAGTTTTCACAATTAGTCTAACTTGGCCAGAGAAAGCTTCCTTTTATCGTGGGGAGCTTCTACTTGGGGTTCAAATGCTCTGTGGGGTTTGATAAGCGGGGCATGGGAGCGAGCTTTGAGCTCAACATCATACCCTGTGGTTATGACTGAATCCCAGATATTCTTTTTATGATAACATTTAGTTGAAGACTCATAAATTTCTTCTTGCTGTCTCAGCATTTCCTTGCCTATCCTTTTCAGTAAAAGAAAATAGATTATTTGTACATCTGAAGGGAGAGCAACTATCCATTTTAACTCCTGTGTGAGCAATCACAAAGGGAACTAATATTAGACATTTGGGTTCTAACCACACCGTGCCAAGGACTGAACCGCTCAGAAGAATGATCAAGGTGTGATTACATTGAACTACTTATTAACTATGACACCATAGTGCATTTTCTTAGTGAGGATTAATTGGATGTTTCTGTCAGGGCTTTAATTTAGTATAACAAAGTGACAGTGTTCAGGGAACAAAATAACAAAGTATATGTTAATATTAATAAGAGTTGGTTCATATACCTCTGCTCTTTGGCAAGTTAAAGCGGCAGCAAAAAGGAGATGAGTGTGTGTTTGTGTGTGTTCATTTCAAGAATCTAATGAGAATTCTGAGAAAGCTAACTTTAAAAACATGCTCTAGAGGCCCCTGCTGTTTTATCACACATGAGCTTTGCTGGAGTGCCCTGCGCCGTGGGAGAACATCTGACTAGAATACCAAAGGGCTCCAATGTGTGAAGAGCTCATGGCTATAGTCTGTGTTTTATCTGACACCTGAGGTAACTTTATAAGTTCGTATTCTTCTATAATCAGAAATGCCTGCCTGATAAAATACATGCAGCAAATACTGCAGTGAGTTATGCTTATATTTAAATAGAGAAGCTTAAATGTAATGCTGAAAGTTCTCACAAGAGTCTTTTGCTTGTACCCTACTGAACGGGATGCTTGGTTACACAGTGAAGGATTTCGCACCTGAAGGATTTTGCACCTGAAGGATTTTGCACCACTTTGTGGGTTTTGCTGTTAGTATTTGCTTCCCTCATGTTCACCTTTAATCTCTCTTACATTATAGTAACAAACGTTTACCTTGAAATGTGAAGTTAAGCTATTTTGCTCTATAAGTCTTCCTGTGAAGTTAGGTTGAACTCCTGTGGTTTCTCCAACTGATTCCTATGTGCATTTAACAGCATTTTTAAAGAACTATCTTCCTACCATATTTTTTAAAACACAGTAACACTTGTTACAAAAAAAAAAAAAAAAGTATGCTTATTCTCCTTTACTGACATTTTTTGCAAAGAGAAATCTTTCATCGCATATATTGATTTACATTCAGGAATTTTAGGGCAATCATTTTATTTTGGTAATTAATATGATACATATTTTTGATCATCATTACAAAGTACTTCTTTGGCTGCTCTCTGTGTGGAACCATGCTGGGTTTTAACCTGCTCATTAGGCTGAAAGCATCCTAGCCAGATGGCAAACACAATAGGGGCAGGGATTCTGTCTTTTATTTCTTTCTTTACTTCTCTCTTTTGAAATGGTCTCAATTTATGCATGTGTTGCCTCCAGCTCAGTCTCCCCTGTCTATTCTCAGGAATGTCTCCTTCTGTGTTTCCCTCTTTTGCCTCCATACCAAACCTAACACAATGTGGCAGACTCAGCTTTTCACAAAACTTTCCTTGACCACTCTTGCCCACCATGATTACTCCTTCTCAGAGTGTCCCTCACAGCTCCAGAAATTCTTCTTTCTCACTAAAGGTTCAACTATATTTATTCTATTTCAACAGGTAGGTCATAAAATCTTGAGAGCAAGATCTTGAAGTTTTAATCTTAATGTCCCTCTGAGTTCTTCAGAGAAGGGATTGCAGAAAAGGATAGGTATCCTCCTAGAGCCCACTCCCAGGCTTAAGGCACCCCTTTTTGGGACAGTCCTTATGAAGGAATGACTGTTATGGGTTACATGCATGACAATAAATTCTAGTCTGGGAAAGGTGGTGTCATTCAAGATGGCGGTGTAGGAAGACCCTAAACACAACTCCTTCCTTGAACACAACAAATTCATAGCTATGTATGTAATAGTTTTCCTCTGTAAACAAACAAAAAAATCCCTGAGAACTAGATGGCTAGGATTTCCACAACAAAAGACAACAGAGACACTTTGAGAAGGACAGGAGAGGTAGAGACATGTCCTCCCTGGGATCCTACCCCAGATGCAGTGACCCCACAATTGGGAGGGATCCCCCAAATTTAGAATTCTCCCTCAAGGACTGAAGGGCTTGTTCCCCACATCAGGCACCCTGACCTTGAGGGCTAGCACCAGAAAGATGAGCCTGCCAAATGCCTATTTTAAAAATAAATGGGGATGAAGACCAGGAGAATCATTGAACTATAAGGAACATATACCCGACTCTAAAGGGGCTCACATGCAAACCCACTCATGCTGAGATCTAACACAAGAGGAACAGACTGAAAAGTACCTAGACCAGCAAGGGAGATCCACTTACTACTTTTAAAATGACTGCCAGGGAGGCAGGACCCCATGAGGACTTTATCCAGGGATGGAAGTGCTGGTGCATGCCATTCTTGCCATTCATCCTAACTTCCTGGTGATGCAACAAATGGGTGCCATTTTTGGTGCCCTCCCTCTAGCTAACATGTGGAGGGCATGGTCGGCCCTCCCCACGCATAAGCAGGCTGGGGGACACACCCCTCGTTCCACTCACCCTGTGCATTATTGGAGCTACAACAAGGCAGATGAATGCCCTGAACCCCACCCACCCTGTGCACAACTGGGATGGTTAAGTGATGTGAGCCCCGATCTCCCTGCACAGCAGCTGTGGCCCTATCGGAGTCAGCATACTCATGCAGCCATAGAGTACCTGGTTCTAGTGGCCAGGAAAGATGGTGCTTCTGAATCACATGGAAAACTCCTACACAAGACCACCCGTTCAAGACTGAGGGGGTAGCCATTTCACCTAATATATAGAGAGAAACAGAGAGAGGCAAAATGAGGAGAGAGAGGAATTTATTCCAAACCAAACAACAAGGAAAATCCTCAGAGAAAGATCTTAATGAAACTGAGATAAGCAACAAACTTAATAAAGAATTCATAGTAATGGCCGTAAAGATGCTCACTGATCTTGGGAGAAGAACGGATGAACACAGCAAGAACTTCAACAAAGTGACAGAAAAAAAAAAGAAAAAAGAAAAAAACGAAACAAAACAAAAAAAGCCAAAGTGACAGAAAATAGAAAGAAAATACCAAGCAGAAGTTAAAACTACATGGAGAAATACAATATAGGGTTTCTACAATAGAATGGATGGAACAGAAGCATGAATCAGTGAACCAGAAACACAGCAATGGAAAACACCCAATCACAGCAGGAAAACTAAAGCAAAAAAGAATTTTAAAAAGACAGGATGCCTTAAGGGACCTCCAGGACAGTATCAAGCAGAATAACATTTTCGTTATAGGAGTCCCAGAAGGAGGAGAAAGAGAAAGGGCTAGAAAAATTCTCAAAGAAATAATGGCAGAAAACTTTTCTAATTCCGGGAAGGAAACAAATATCCAAGTCCAGAAAACACAGAGAGTTCCAAATAAGGTGAACCCAACGGTGTCTGGGTGGCTCATTCAGTTGAGCGGCCAGCTGTTGGTTTTGGCTCAGATCGTGATCTCATGGGTTGTGGAATCGAGCTCCACATCAGGCTCCATGCTCAGCGGAAAGACTACTTAAAGATTCTCTCCCTCTGCCCCTCCCTCTGCTCTCTCTCTCTCAATCTCTCAAATAAATAAATGAATCTTTTTGAAAAAGAGAAAAGATGAACCCAAAGAGAAACACACTGAGACACATTATAATTAAAATGGTAAAAATTAATAATAAAGAGAAGAAATTAAAAGCAAGAGAAAAGCAACCCACTGTATAAAAGGGAACCATTATAAGGCTCACTGTATAAAAGAGAACCATTATAAGGCTATCAGCAGGTTTCTCAGCAGGAACTTTACAGGTCAGAAGGGCATGCATGGCATGATATATTCGAAGTGCTGAAGGGGAAAAAATCCCAACCAAGTATTCTCTACCTGGCAAGCTTATCATTCAGAATTGAAGAAGAGACTAAGAGTTTTCCAGGAAGCAGAAGCTAAAGCAGTTCATCACCACTGAACCTGACCATAAAAGGAATGTCACAGAGGTACAGGTCTGTGATTCAACAGTCTTTTTTTTTTTTTTTTAAAGATTTATTTATTTGACAGAGAGAGACACAGCGAGAGAGGGAACAC